AATCTCTCAAAATATAGAATTAATACCCTATTTACTTTTGTATATGACCGTAACTAATATGCTTCCATCTCAATTTCTACTGTTGAAGCAGAGTAGGCGAACTTTTTTCGTTCTGAAGGTAAAGATGATACAACAAGACCATTTAACATCGGCCAAATGTGTTCACATGGCTTACCAAGATATGGCTTTCTTTCTTGAAGAAAAATACACATTCCATTGATCAAATGAATAACTACATCATTCATGTGTCCCATTTTTCCACCAATAGGAGTATTTCCCATTAATTAGAAAATAAAGTCACATAATCTCACCTGTGCTTAACATTTAGCCTATGTGTGATCGGTCTAATATGTCAGTAATGTTGTTGAAAAGTTTTATGGAAATTAGTCTCATCTATGGGTGTTTTTGTCAATAACTGATATGAGTTTAAGTAATATTTAAAATCTTGAAGTACAGAATAGCTGCCTCGTTCTAATATTGAACTGTATAACATTGTGCATCCACAATTCTGTCTCGCATTAAACCAATGCTAGGACAAAATAAATAGACAGCGTTTTTCGGCTAATAATGTTACAAAATACACTTGCAAACGAAATCAATCTCCACTAGACCTTTCAATAACAGGATAAAGATACTTGTGATCATTTATCTAACCTTGATGATATTGTGATTGCCGGCATCAGTAATTTATATCATTTACTAGTCGTATGATAAATGCATTACTAGCCTAGATCATTGTTATAGTTAATGGCTTTATTCAATATTATATGTTTAGTACAATACAGAATTCTCAGCACGACGGTTTGAAACTAAAAAAACATAAATTTATATGTCTCAGACTATTCAGGTCAACTAAAATAAAATAACCCTAATTATAGATTTTAAACCACAAAATGATTGTAGTTAGACCATCATTTAAAGTCCAGAAGAGCTGGACGGCCGTTTTGTCAATAATTCACATCCCATATATCAAACCCAGGACCCTTCGACTACTAACTCAACATTCATCAGTATTCTTGATTCAAAATCTCCAGAGCCCAATACCGAAAACTATCATCTACTTACTAGTGACCAGATTCTATATACAATTCTCAAGGTGAGAAGCCGTGGCCAATGGAGTTCAGCCATGTTCATTGTAAGAAAGCTATTCACCTTCGGTTATAAAAGATGGTCATGCAATATCTTGAATCTAATGAAGTTATACCCTACCAACACTGACTCAGTAGTCTAGACGTTAAGTGTTCATATTTGAGAACAAAACCTTTATTTTCGACTCCCTGTATTATGGTCATAGACATGCAGTTGAACGAAACAGCCTTCTAATGTTTCAAAGCATTCAGTATTAATTTCAGTAGTTGGGATCATGAGTCGATTGAAACTAGACCACCATGAAAAACCTGGAAGTACTGGACAGCCTTTTCGCCCCGCCATGGGACTCATCAGCAGTGCACATTCACGATCTCCCCTCGTGAGGTTCGAACCAAGAACCTATCAGTTTTGCACGTGAATGCTTCACCTCTTCCAATAATAACCTAATTATAGTCAATCAATGATTGAAAATCAATAAAACTCATATAATTTTCGCAAGACCCTATATTTATCATAATAGTGATTGAAGCATTCTCCTATTCCTAAATGAAAACATATTGTAGTGAACAAGAACACCAGTGAGGACAATCGAATGTATTTAACACAAAATTACAGGACTTGTTAATAAAATCTAACACTCATAAAGTAAATGCTTAATTTGCAAAATGTCCATCAATTTTCTCCAAAATGACTCAGACTTCATTGTTCTTGCATTTTCATACAAATTACATCCTGTTTCCATTCTTTACTGTTCGATCCTCTTGTCTCTCTGCTGCCAGACTTTCTGTTCCCGACTAATATCATATACTACTTATGTCAATATAAGTAGCACATACCACAATATATTATCTTTATTTTAATGATAAAAATTATATTTTATAGAAACATTTGATTATATAGAATAATATAAATTAAGCTTTAAAAATAATAATCACGTATCATCTATACAATGTACTCTTATACATCATTCAATAGATAGTAAGTGTATACATATAATGTTAATCATTTGAAAGAAACGTGATTCTCGTATACATTTTCATTCTTGAATTTCATTACTACTTTTGATCCAAAAAAAACAAAACAAACAACAAACAAATACTTACATTTTTCATAATAACCATTGTTATAGATAATTATTTAAGGTAGACATATTTCAGTTGATTAATCAAGTTCAATTGATGCCATGAAATGATACCTAAAACAAACATGATCATGATGATAATTAATATACATGACCTGTTTAATATAGTGTATAAAGAAAACAATAGAATAATATCTTTGGCAGATATTTTTAATAGTTCATATTATAGACTAATCTCAATATGACAATTATTAATAACTAGGAAGCACTGGATAGTTAATTGTATTATTCTAAGATTAAACTTATCAACATAGAGTATTCACTACATAATCTGAGGTTGGATACAGGACTTTTACATCATCTATGTTATAACTTGTGGTTTGTGTGACCTGTTAATGTATAGCGCCAATTAGAGTACAGTGCATTATCGATCGGACCGATGACGCATAAAACCCATACGAGCAGTCTGCAGTCTTTATCGGTCCTTCTTCCTGACTAGCCCTGCCTGTTAAATTCAGAACACCGATCTCAGCCTCTGCAATATGAATCATGTATTTCAAACATACTGAGTTTATATACAAACCAGACAGACCACAACGTACCATAAAATGTAAAATAACATTTATAAAAGACTTAGCCAAAAGTGGCTATGAATATGGGAGATAGTGATTGATAGACTGGGCATAACTCAAGAATGGTAAATCGTACAATAATAGTTCATAGGTCAAAATATAGCTCATAATGAAAGGGACACGAATATGAATAGTTTATTTATTTAACAATTATACGATAAAAATATACGTATAGTATTGGTCCATAAAAGGATCTCAAAAGTTACCATTCATTATGCTTATCGGGACATAACAATCTAGAGAGCATTAAAACTTTAATTTATGGGTTCTAACCCATTAGTTTATATTTCTAACTTTAATCATTTCATAATATTTTTCAATTAGATTAAGGTTGATTAAAGTCAGAAATCTAACCCATTTTTATGTTACATTAGTTTTCTGATGAGAGACCTGAAATGATTAGTTTCGATTGTATCTGTTTAGTGCTTTTTTGGTTTTCAGTGGCTATTCAACTAAGTCTAGTCTATGATGTAAGCAACAAAATATCAACAATCTGAACAGTAATACTGCTCATATTTTCCCTTTAATAATATTGATCACTTTAATCATTTATTCTCTCTTCATATATAAACTAATGAAATGGATATTTTGATAATGAACAAGTTAATGGCTCTATTATTATAAGGGATCTGTATAAAGTTGACATTTCATTAGAAATAAATGACAGAACATATATTCATTACAGGATTCCATACTTAGCCACTATCAAAATACAATTTATATACTATTATTCTAAGTCATATTTACGTTAATTTCATCTTCTAAACTGAATGTATCTGGTAGCCAAAGGTTGGATTTAATAGGATTGAAAAAAAGACAGAATTACAAGAGCTGACGATCAGATTCATAAAATATAAGTTTTTACCCACAATCAGTAGATAATCAACCAACAATTTCAGTTTCCATTAAGATAGACAAAAATGCAACATTTTTTGTTCTATGTAGGAATGTTTCAAAAAGGAGGAGTCCCAACATAGAATGAAAATGGCCGTCTAATGCTTCCAGGTTTTCAATGGTGATCTAGCTTCAATTGACTCATGATCTCAACTAATGAAAATCTATTAAATGTCAATAAGTTTTGTAAGATTATTCTTAATCATTGGGATTCATTGTTATAAACAGTTTTAGGATGGATTAAAATGTGTTGTGGGATTTTTTCTCTCCCTGTCAATAGAACTTATGATGCGAAGTGTAATACTTACGTAAAACATTAAACATAAAGTCATATGTATTTACTTATTTCACTACTCCTCATTCCTAGTAAAGGAAAAAAAATTAACATTAATTTTCTTTTAATCCCGACAAGTATATCACGCTATTTCATCGTTAATAACATTACAAATAATAAGGGTTGGGGATAAATCCCACGTTGTTAAGTCATCTATATGTATTATAGTCACTAATTATGATTGTTTTCTTTTATCGTTTAATTTGGGATAATTTATATTATAGATATAATTGGAGTTATATCTTTTTCTATGTTGTAATTTTTCATCCATTATGACAGAGTACCCTACACTTGACATATTCATACCATAATGAAGTGATATTTTCGTATGTAAGCCAGTAAAAAGAGGACGAAATATACCCTCTCTCATGGATTACAATGATATGAGTAATTATTCCCACTTTATTTTGATTAGTTATCAGGTATTATGTCAACATTGTGAATAACAATAAAGTTAATCTTCAATTGGTAATAAACATTTGAACTATCCTATGCTTCAGTCAATTAAAAGTACTACAATTATTAACAGGATTAAAAAGACAATGAAATAATAGCCAATCATATTTCCTTTTAAATATAAACCAATCAAATTGTTAATAATAAATTTAAAATTTTCCCAATTTCTGATTGGTTAATATTGAATTATTATAATTCATTCAAATTTTTTTATTATTTTATTATTTCAATACAATCAGATTGTGTTTATAATTGAGATCATGTTTAATAAAAGATTGAATAACATTTATAATATGATTATTACATGAATGATAATCTATACGAAATTCACCCATATATAGATATACATATAGGGAAATAAGTAGTATATAACAATGTTCATTCATTCGATTATATAATATACATCAATATTGAACAAACTTAATTGTAATGATAACAATTATTTATGGAATTAATAATTATGATAATAATATCTTATTAAAATTTTATTTATATAATAAAAGAATCATTATTATTTTATTAGAAATCAATTATATGATACACTATTTATATTTATTGATTTTATTAACAGAAATTGATTGTAAAATACAAATCGATTCCAATTTGACCATTGGTGATAATAATAATAATCATGATATATCCTCTAATCAATTAACTAAATCAATAAGATATGGAATGAATACAATCAATAAATATTCTATACATGATCTAGTTAATAATGATCAAATTAATCATAATGATCCTATTACATCATCAACATCATCATCATCAACGATGACAACAACAACAATTCAATTAGCATTTATTGTTATTGAAGAAGTGAAAATAGGTAGTTTAATAGGCAATTTATTAGATAAATTACAATTACAAAATTCTAATTGGTTACTAACTAATTCATTAATAAGTAATATTCATAATCAAAATAAAAATAATCCATTTGTAAATTTAAAACCAATTCCATATATTAATTTAAATCAAACTACTGGTGATTTAATAGTACGTACACGTATTGATCGTGAAACATTATGTGATACAGCAGGAACATGTTGTCATACTGAAAGGCAAATTGATTATCATCTATGGTCAACTAATAATCATAATAATAATAATAAACTACAAATTATGAATGATGATAAATTAACTGGACAATTATCAATGATTACACCAGATTGTGCATTACGTATGCTTGTATTATTTCATACGGATAGTGAACAATTTTTAGAGATTATTATTTATATATTAGATATTAATGATAATACACCAAGATGGATACAATCTGTAATTGAATTAGAAATTCCAGAACATACAGCAATTGGAACAGGTTATCAATTGCCAGAAGCGATAGATCCTGATCAAGGACCTATGCATACAGTTGTAGCTTATGAATTAGAAAATAAACCATTGAAAGAAAATATTGATCAAACTAGTAAAGATTATTATTCAAATTCATTAAATAGAGAGATGCAAGATAAACAACCATTCAGTTTAGATGTACGTGCATTAGATAATTCAAATTCTAAGACACAAAAATTTTCATTAATACTTCGTATTGAAGAAGATTTAGATCGTGAAACACGTCCTACATATGAACTTATTTTATATGCAATTGATGGTGGTGAAACGGTTCAAAGTCATTCTGAGAGACATTACACTCCAATTGGTACTTATTCACTTCCAAATGTATCGAATAGGCATACAGGATCAGTGCTGATACGTGTACTGCTGATTGATAAGAATGACAATGCACCGATATTTAGGAATCCTGACCAAGTTGTCGTTATTCCAGAAAATACAAAACCCGGTACAGTTATATATCAAGCATCAGCTAATGACTTGGATTCTGCTGATCATAATTCTTTAGTATATAAAATTGGACCATCGGCTAGTGCGGAAGTGTTGAGATGTTTTCGACTGAATTCAGAAACTGGAGAATTAATTCTTATCATGCCACTAAGCTATCAGAATGCCAGTGTACTTTCTTTGGATAGCATTAATACAGTTACAAACGTGAATAATAGAGTGGATACAGCTTCACCTATACCATTAATTGGTCATCGCATACCAATTCAAGTTAGCGATCAAATACATATCACAGAAATGACTTTGATTGTTAGTATTCGAAAAATCAATATGAATCCTCCATCAATTCATGTAGCATCACATCTACGCTTATCTTCAAGAGGCAATCAAATATGGATTGCTGAAGATGCTCAAGTAGGCTCACTTGTTGCCATGATTAATGTAATCGATTCCGATGATATTGTACCACAAAGTAGATCAAATCAACTTATGAGTAGAGAAGCAAAATCCGAATGTCGTAGTAAACATGATTCGTTTGAGGTTTTACCACTTCACACAGTGACGAATACAGATTTTAAATTAGTACTAAGAAAATCATTAGATAGGGAGACTAAATCATCTCACAGTGTAAAAATTGAATGTTGGGATTCTGGTGAACCTCCATTAACAGCTGAAACCAGTATCTTAATACAAGTAGATGATATAAATGACTCACCACCAGTGTTTGATCGTCAATTTTACTTTTCTAAAATTAAAGAAGGTCTTGATCCTTCTACACCAATAATACAAGTTCGAGCTACTGATGCAGATTTAGGGAAAAACGCTGAAATTATCTATCGATTAGTTTCACAAGAATATACACTAGCAACTGCATTACCAGATACTATGTGTTCTTCAATCAATTCCCTTCATATTGAAAAGAATCTTATATCGATCAATGAGAATACAGGCGAATTAATTAGTCAAATTGCATTAGATCGTGAAAGTATTGCATTGATCAATTGTACAGTGGAAGCAATTAATAAAAATCAGTTATATTTAACTGAAGATGATAAAGTTAATTCAATGTATAAAACTTCTACCCAAATCATTATTACAATAGATGATTTAAATGATTGTAAACCAATGTTTAATGAATCATCATATGAATTTACTGTAGTTGAAGGTCAAAAACCACATTATCAAGTAAGTTGATATCTGAACATGATTGTCATTGTATCAGTTGTATCTTCTTGTATCATTTAATTGTTGAATATGAACAATTGAATCAAATTGAAGTGAAATATTCAATGAAGCTGACATTTATCATTTGAATGCGATTGTCACTTCATGAGAAGTTTTCACTATTTCTATTTAGTTTGAATGGATTAAGTTTATGATAAGTTATAACATAAAGTTGATGATAAATTGGTTAGTATTTTTCTTAGAAATTGAATGTAACCTTTTGGTATGTATTGTTTGATCTAAGATTTGTGCTATTTAGCGTTCTTAAACCAAGGTTTATCACTAATCTGATGTTGTATTAAGCATAAAAGCTGTGTAACTTTGTGTATAAGTTAGAGACGTTATTACGAATCTATTCGTATTAAGATCAATCTTATGACCTGCTTCAACTATATGTTTTGTAATAGATGACAATGAATGTTTATCATCTACTCTTATTGAATCATTTGATTTTATTTGTTTTCGCAAACATCTAATTACATGTTCAAACAAGCTAATACAGAGATCACGATTATTCCTCCCTGTGAATATATAAAGGTTTATAACAAGTACATATGTAATCCGATTGTTCGAAATGTATTGTGCTAATATATCTCACATAGTTTTGATAATCTTCGTTTCTTTATTATACTATCCCAAAAGAACTAGTCATTTTTTGTTGGAATATTTGTTCACAGAGGTTTTCATGTGTCTGTTATTGTCAGGTTTTAAACATTTAATTGCTTAGGATTTATTCCCAACACCCTAATTAGATCATATTATTAATCGTTATGTTCTATACAATTCTACTATTGATATTTAGGACTGAAATTCAATCCATTTCTGTTGGTATATATATGCCCTGTATAGATTGCTTCGACGTTGTAATTTCTCAGTTACATTCAACTAAGTATTTCTAATGAAGGCTAAATGAGTGTTCTATATTCCACTGCTTATATAGATCAGTCTGTTTATCCTATAAACCTAATTAGTTATTTACAAAAGTGGGAAGACAAGTCATCATATTTATTCCATTCAGCCCCCCAAACGCCCTGGTATGGCCGAGAGCGGAGTGGGTTCGCCCTCTCTCTCGAAATACTCTCACACGGCCGCGCGTATACAGCATCTGCCAGGGAAGTCCTATTCACTGCCTTCTCGTGGCGGGGGTGTTGTTTACGAAAATAAGAGGATGAAAAGCGAATGTCCGGCGCTTTAACCGGATTCCAAATGTATGGTGCACATGGGTACCAGTATCCTGCGGGAACAAATGGCGTATGAACCAATCGTTGATCACCGGCTACCATGGGACTGCATCTCCTTACGATGCTCCACTGCCTTGTGGGTTAGACCTTTAGGTCAAAGGCTCGGGGTGTGGCATCCTAGGATAACCACCTGCTTCGGTCTGGGCACCCGGGCAGTATCGCAGCCCACACGCAGTTAATGAACTGAAATTGTGTGGCGCATATATATTTGGCGCACTCCTGTACCAATATATATGTGTTCAAATAAAATAAAATCAAAATTCCATTCAGCCAGTACTAAAATAATTGCATCTGATCATGTAAAATGTTTATTATTATTATTATTATTTCAGAACTAGGTCATATTTAATTTTGGTTTATCTTTTATTGTATAACGAACAAAATAAAACATATACCGTTTGACTGAGATAAACTTCAACAAGTCCATATTAAACCATTATGTTGTAAGTAAACCTGGTTACTATCTTTTATCAGCAAAGATGGATAGTGGCTAGTAGTAAAATCCAGCTGAAGAGTCCCAAATAGGACGAAACGCGCGTCCTGGATTCCACTACTAGTCATTGTTCATCTTTGCTTATAAAAGCTTGTGAATTAAGGCAATATCGAGGCATACGCACAGTATGTATATATACCAATAACAGACTGATCAAATGCAGTGTTAAAATTTAATGGGAAGATACAAGCAAAACAATACTAACTGGTTACTATAATTATGTACTTTATGTGGATACTTGAAAAACACACTATAGTACATAGATATATTTGCACAGATAATTTATACCTAAATTGATTCCATGAAATTACAATTTAATTGACCTTTACATTTTATACACATTTCTTTATTCTCCTATTATTTGTTTATTTGTTTTCTTTTGTTTTTTGTTTTCTTCTTTTTTTTTCTCCATCGAATATAAGAAGATTTATTTTGACTTATATGACTAGCATTTGTAATAAATTGTAAACATGTAACTATATACATTTATACAGATACATAACCTGGGATAACATGTATTGATTATATTGATTGTATTTAAACAAGTGTATGTATGTGTGTGTGTATGTGTTTATTGCACTTCTAAAGTAATGTTACGTATTTTTATATGATTCGATGATATACATGGCAACACATATACTGATATACATACATACAGAAATTATATATATTTTTGATATGTTTTATAGACTTATATATTGTACTACAGAAATTGACTCAGTAACAATTTTTCACCGAATCATTATTATTTGTATGTTTATAAAGTACACTAGGTAGAAAGGTTATAGAATGAAGCACATATATCTCTTCTTTTTTTTTCTTAATGGTACTAACATTCTAATCATAATCATAATAATAATAAATTGAATGGGTTTGTTCAGTACTATTTATTTATTTGAACACAGTACTGTGCATTTAGGTTACAATGATGAATTTTTTTGAATGAAATATACAATGTCAAAGGGAGTTTTGTGGATAATATAGTAATTTTAATAGTTGAGATCATAAGTTAATTGGTGGGTTGGATTCAATTGACTCATGATCCAACTATTGAAATTATTATAATATCCAGAAAACTCCTTCTGTTGCTAAGTAACATATTCTCACTGGTGACAAGCTTCAAGAGGTATATCCTGGAGTTCTAACGAGAAGCAGATAACTTTGGAGTTCAGCCGTGTTTGTTGTGAGATGGTAGCTCATTGAAGACAATGGTGAATTTGTCACCCAATTTAGTGAATTAGTTGAAATTACACATTAACACCGTTGGATCCTTGTGAGATCAGTGGTCTAGAGTTTGAGCGTTCGCTTGTGAGACCAATAGGTCCTGGGTTTGGATTTCGCGAGGTGAGATCGTGAATGTGCACTACTGAGGAGCCCCATGGCGGGGCGAAAAGGCTGTCCAGTGCTTTCAGGTTTTCTATGGTGGTCTAGTTTTAATTGACTCATGATCTCAACCATTAAAATATACAATATCGTTATAAATCCCTCTGGTATATTCATTGATTATGTGACGATTTAAAAAAATTTCCAGAAAAAAGTTTTGTGGTAATGACTGGTTGTCATTTACGTAGCAAAAGTTTACAACCGATTCTACCTCCAACATATATATATATATATATATAATCATTGAATACCTTATTTAAGTTATAAATTCCATTGTATTCCCCCTCTTTCCGTTTCTTTTAAAAAGAAGAGACATAAACATAGAAACATATTAACTACATTAATGTTTCCTTTATTGAATTATCTGTTTTTATATATTTATTACAAGTTCCAAGCTTTCTATATTCTATAGTAAACATAGAAAATTAACTATATGAAGCAAATCTTAAGCCGAAAAATTTACTTCACCATATACATATATGTAAATTACTTGTCTTAGAGGTTTGACTAGATGATCCTTTTTTCGAATTTATTTGCATTCAGCAAGATATGACTAAATCAATGTTCGTTGCATCAAATGTGAAAGCGGATTTTAATCATACTTCAATTTCGTAACATACTCATTATTACATTGAATTATATTATAATTATTCAAATAAGTTTACTAAACACCTCTATAATTTCAGATGGGTTTTGTAGATAATATAGTAATTTCAATGGTTAAGACCATGAGTTAGTTGAAGCTAGACCACCATGGAAAACCTGGAAGCACTGGATGGCCGTTTCGTCCTATTGTAGGACTCCTCAGCATTGCGCATCCATCACCACGCCTCCCGCGAGATTCGAACCCAGGACCTACTGGTTTCGTGCGCTAGCACGTAACCACTAAACCGAATGAGCCTACATCCAACGGTGTTAATGTCTAACTTCAACTAATCCACGAAATTGAGCGACACATCTCTATAATTGATAGAAGTTAGTTTATATAATTTTTTTATTGTTATGCTTAGAAATTTGTTTGATAAGTGAATATTGAGTGATCTATCATTTCAAACATTTAGTAACTTGCTTATTATTCGAACAAGACAAAGTAATTTTGATCCTGTTATTAATTATAAATGGTTACAAAGATCACATACGCACACATACACACGCATTTATACATGATTACATCGATTTTTCTTCTTTGATTAGTATGATTATTCTTTCTTTCTCTGCTATAGTACAATCAATACAAGTACCAATTAATAACAGTACGCTAGTAGTAGTAATAATATTCATAACAACACCAGGAAGTCTACAAAGTGTATTATCATTTGAATAGAATAATAATACTGCTAATTTACCACAAAGAATTATGTTTCCTGTTACATTAAATAAGATTGATTTACAGAAAGAAAAGGGACACTTCCTGTATTATTATTATTACTATTATTATTAATATCAGTATTACTACTACCATGGACTATTACTCTGCTATTCGTGTATTGAATAAAGCAATTGAAATACTCTTTTTTTTTCTAAACAAAATAATGATTAACAAGTGTCATTTTGTTTTACTCTAGAAAATATTACTTACTAGCTACATTTTTAAGTAGTAATTAAATTAAATTCCATAATGCAATAGGGAAGAAAAGCATTTACTCTATGGCTTTTCTTTGTTGAAAACAAACAAACAAACTTGTTATGAGTATTTCAAATGTAATAATACAAAATCTATTAAAAATCAATGTACTATGGAGTGGTGGTTTAGTAACTATATGGATATATTAACTAGTTGACTTAAAATTACTTAGACTTATTGTGAGGTGAACCTTTTAGTTTGGTTTTATCAAATAAAATCT